GCTGATTAGAAATTAAGTGTTAACGAGCAGTTGGACAGGTGTACCTAATAAAGTGGCCGGTGAGTGTATGTTCCCCAGTGTGTCTCAGTCCAGCTGCCCCTTATTTGTTTGATTAGTCACCCTCGTGTTTCTCACCAGGTGTTCTCAGTTTGTCCATTAGTTGTCAGTGTATTTAAGTCCTGTCTTGTCTCAGTCTGTTGTCAGATCCTTATTTGCTGTTGGTTGCTCATGTCATGTCATGTCATGCCAAGTCAAGTTTTTGTATTTAGTTTGCTGTCACATCAGCCTCTTGTTTTCATTTATTAAATACTTTTTCCACCTCACTCAGTCCTGCATCTGGGGTTCAAACCAACCTAGCCCACACATTACAACGGGTCCGTCCTGAGCGCACAGATGAGCTTTGTTTACGTTTGTAACAAGGAAGTAGAGCTGAATGTTTACAACACTGTGCATGATCGGATTGTGTCCATGTAAACAGTRCATTCAGATTATTTAATCTGAATACATTTCAATCTGATTAAAAAAATTGTGCATGCAAACATAGCTACTGCCATCTTGGAATATTCCTGTGCCATCAGGGAAGAAATAATCCATTGATGGAATAACCTGGTCGTTCAGTATATTCACATAGTCAGCTGACCTCTTTCTTTGAGCACAAACTGTTGCTGAACCTAGACACACTAGACAACTGCAGCAACCCCAGATCAAAGACTGTAGTTAAATCCAGGTGGTGACTTTTTTTTGGCCAGGCAGTGTATTATGGTTCTTTAGGCAGAATTGACGCCAAACTGCAATAAAAGTGAAACAACTAGCTGCCACTGCTGCTATTTGTACTTTCAAATCACCATATAAATCTAAAATTACTGTGTAATGGAAATTAATGGATGTTTAAAGCTTTATTTAAAACTGCATGAACTGCTGTGACATTTTCTTGTGGTGGAAGTTGTTTTAAGATATCATTGATCCACTTTGTTTTTTGCTGACTAGCAGTTGACTCATCTGTCCTGTTAGAATTCAACTGTTTTCCCAAACTGGACTCACTGGGAAAAAAAACCACTGCAGGTAAAATAAATCAGTTGTTCATAACTTTTCCACAGAACCCCACTCAGAATGGCCAATTATCCCTTTAAGTTACCTAGTCCTTGAGGTTTTTTGTTCTAGCTGCGGTATGTGCAACCACATCATCACTGTWTTCATAACTACCTCTCAGTGTTTGGCTCAGATCGGTGATAAAATGCTGCTCACTCCATCTAACACCCGCATGGGAATACTTCATAATAAAAGCCCAGCAGCAAATTTGCAGAAAGCAGGATTTTGGCGAATGAGTTTTCCAAATGGGGGATGTTGTGTTCGCAAGAAAACATTAATCAAACTCAGCCTGTGCTTTTGCTCTTTTGAAGTTTTCACTGTGTTTTGACCCTCAGCTGCTTGATCCCTAGCCCTGCCACGGGCTTCAAAATAAACCTGGACTATGCTAAGAATGAAGCCAGCTGGGGCTCCAGGCACCACAGTCTAGTGGCATTCCCTACAAAAACAATCTGTTCATTTTACTGTGTTCGTCTTCATCACCCTTTTCTCCTTTCTTTTAACTCTGCACAGCTCTACCTTCGCTCCTCTGCATCTCCTCTGAAAAGACTTTTATTTCTCACACTCTAAAAGCAGTTTTTACATGGCCCAGGAAAGGCTCTGTGAAACCCGCAGAGACGTTTGGACTGGGATAAAGAAATCTGCTAAGCTCTCACAGTTTATTGATATTTCTGGCCAATTCTGTTCTATTTATTGCACTGTTACTGTTGAATGA